TTTCAATGTTAGTTTACTAAATATTGTATTTTTGTATTGATCAGTTATGTTTCTCTTTTTACTTTTACTGTAATACTAATTTTTTTTTGGCTAATAGAAAATGTTGCTGTCCTTTTTTAGGTTGTTTTAGAAGTCAGACGTAAGTTCCGCCAGTTGTGATTAAATGGCTCCCATCGCTCGACGCAACAACATTGCAGGGGCAAAACCAAACGAGCTCTTCTCAAAGTGATCAGTATCCTTCAATCAAAATTTTATTCCTCCTTGTCAGAATGAGGTTAAACGTAATACTTTATTTTTACTATTTAAGAATTTTACAATTCCTTTTTAATTATTTATTTAAAGTTTGAATGTCTTTTGTTCCGCGTTCTAAACATTAGCACATGCCAGATACATTGCTATGTTGGAATTGTGATAGCTACTTACTACGGTCTCATGTTATAAGCTTATCCTTTTTTTTTATTGCATAGATGTGTGGACGAGCTCACAGCCCATCTGGTGTTTACCGGAGCCCATAGACATCTAAAACGTAAATGCCGCAACCCACCTTGAGATATGAGTTTTTAACCATTAAACCGAAACGCATTACTGCTTCACGGCAGAAATAAGCAGGGTTGTGGTACCTAACCGCGCGGACTCACAAGAGGTCCTACCACCAGTCCAACAACGGTTAGTTCTATAAAAAAGTCGAAATCAATGGTGTACTTGTTGATGTGTAATTATCATATCTCTCTCCAACACTTTTTGGTGTTCGCGTTTAAGGTTACTAAGCTATTGCAATGAGATGTAATTTACGTACTTGGACGACGAATCGATAATGAAATTGAAATTATCAGTACCTTGCAGGGTCCACTATGCTAATTATAAAAACATCAAATTATTACCTTGGCATTATCTAGCTTTACATTATCGACGCATCTTTGGTGAAGGACTGTATTCATTATACAATGTTGATACAATACTTTGATATTTAACATCGCATCGCAAGTGACGCTTAACCTTTAAGGTAAATAATAAAGAACCACTAAGACATCTCGTAAAGGTAACTCAATGGAATTCACAAAAATATTGGCTTCCGGCGATTGGTTCAGTATATTATATAAAAAAGTAACAAAATAAATTACTTAGTATTACTAAAAATAAACAAACAAAACTACATAAATACAACAATGGACTAACTTAGTATTTCATTTATTTATTATTCGTTGCAGAAAAAAAGAAAGTAGGTTGGTTTTCAATTTCCATAAACATTTCTAAAACTTCCACGGCGTTATAATTAAAAAGAATGTTTGGGCAATTAATTTAAAAAAAAACCAGCGAATATAGACTTAGGGAACTGTGATATCATAGAGAATCTTCAAGCGCGACTCATCAGCTCAATCAAAATAAACATAAGTTTACAACATTTCACTTGGCGATGTTCGAAACAATTTAAGATTTAGGTCCCACCATCTTCGATGTCGTTAATTACGTCCTTAAGATCGACTAATAATCCGCTGAATATTTTCAAACGTATCTTATACCTTTAAACGAGCAATTCTTGCTACGATTTATTTTCAGTTGTTTTATTCGTATTTTCAATAATCAACTCTTCTCGACATCTATTGGCGAATAATAATACTATTTTTCTTAATTGAGGGCAACTAACCGCTTTAAAGACACAGCAAGATGGCGTTATCAAAAAAAAAAAACGAGCAAAGCTCGATCATCATCTAGTTTTACTAATCAAAGTTGCAAGTGAAGAGATTCGTAAGTTGAAAATAAACAAATCTAACAATATTAGAAAAAGAACAGATCACTGAAAAATGCAGATGGTGCAATATAATTTTAACCAAGATGGCTCATTAAAATACAATGCTGATGGCGACATAATGACACGTTCACGACCCTGTATTCGGGGAAACAGTTAACGAAGCTCTTTCGATACCATAAGTTCACGACTAACATTGTACTACTAGGATACTAAATAAATGCAATAACCAATCTTTTGGACCCCCGGTGTCACTTAGACCTGAGCTGTGCATGCAAATTGTACTAATTAACAATAAAATCGTATGGTCAGTCTTGAACGCACCTACACCTATTTAAATATTCATCAAGCCGTCATTTTATGGAAAAACTCGTGAAAATGTAGAAAAAACTCTTAAATTTTCTGTGTTTATGTAAAAATATACTTAATGTCCTCTTTTTATGGCCTTTGTATGTAGACGAGTATACGGTCTGCCTGCCTAATGGTGTGTGGTTACCAGCACTCATGAAAAACAGCAATGCCAGGGGTAAATCAAGTCGCTACCTACCGCCGAGTAATCTAAAAAAGGAAGTGAAGTAATTTAAATTGAAATGTGTCAAATTTATAAAAAAACGTACTTTAACACATTATTCAAAATAAGACAGTTGCTTTGCGCTTTTAATTAGCGTTGTACTTGCAAAATGTTAGTGCATCCGTTAACCCTTGAGTCCGTTGTAAGAGGAGAGGCATGCCTGTCTATAGTTATAAGATGAACATTCCCATCGCTGTGTGTAACTTTTTTTTTCAGGCAAGGGCCCGAATCTCGTACGTGGTTTCCGTGCCTAGGGGGCACGCGGAGTATGTGGGAGTTGACAATCTACAGATGTTGGGAGCAGACCGCAGGTCCAAGGATATTTTTAGGGCCCTACCCACCAAACAACTCCTCTTTTTTTTTTTTTTTTTTTTTTTTATTGCCTTTGTAGGCAGACGGTCTTGTACTCTCTCACCCGATGTCCGATCTCCACACCTCAGAACTCGGGCAGAGTAGGGATTTCACGTTGTCAACACTAAAACCAGACCACCCGCGGTGCCGCCACGAGGACGCCCACCCCGACAGACCGGTGAGGCGATCGTTAATGACCAACGACGCTGGTCTCCGCACTACGGCATACTATTTGTGCTTGCGATTAAGCACAACGCTGCTAAGGCCTTCATCGATGTCAAGGACAAGTGCATAAAGACAACTCGAAGCGACACAAAGCTAAATGTAGTGGTAGTTACATACGCAATTCAACACAAAGTACTCATTTTTTAGGTTACCACTTAATATGTTCACAAGTCAAAAGTGATCGAAGCTTTTTAATGAAATTATTATTATTAATGCAGTACATGAAAATATAGTGAGATAAAAGAAAGAAACTTAAATATACATAATTTAAACATAAATGTTGTGGTATCAATTTTAATAATGAAAAAAAACAAAACGAAAGTTCTGACATCGCATCAATCACAAATTAGACACGTCCCATATAGGTTTGTGTCACACAATAAATCTGCACTGCGTCTCTGCGTCGAATACCGACTCATTCTACAGCTCATCTGCAATAGGTTACCTAAGACATAGGTCTATATAACACGATTTCTGCAATATTGCGAATTAACTTGAGAGCTTTTATAATATCCCTAATGTTTTTTGACTAAGCTTTAATTTATCATACACCCGCGTGATTTGCAGAACTGTGATAATTTTATATTATAAATGGCTAATTTAATCCTAGACAGAGCTTTACCGTGCGTCGTCACCGCAACAATGATATAAGGCTTTCGAACGGACACGTTGTGTTTTCACTCACGGACTATTTCACAATGCGTCTGTCGTGATTTTTTGTTTATTCTTTCTTAAGCTTATTAAGATAAATATTTACACATTAACAAGCTGATTCTTCGTACGTTTTTTTTTTTGCAATCGCTCAATGAAAATTCCACAATACCGTATTTATAGTTTAACGCAAGTTTTAATGTATTAATGATATTATAAGGCGTATCACAATAATAAAATATATTTTTAAAACTATCCTTAAGCTATCGGTGAACTTTGTATGACATTAATTTTACGTAACCGAAAAAGCCACTTTATAATTAGCTAATTAGGCTTAAATTGTGTGAGGCTGGCCTAACCTAGAAAAGCACCACCCCATCTCTTCGAGTGTTATAAGAAACGATTGGCATTTACCAGTTAGGCTGTACTGTGAACCATCGCGAGCTTGTACGACCATCCTGCCAATTTCTGTCGCGAAGCAGTCTTGCATTATAGTTTGCGGGTGGAACGGTAGCTATACAATACAATTGGAATTTAGACCCAAATGACAGCATTTCCGTTGTGATCTCTATGGACTTAGGTCACTAACTTATCTTACAAATGTTTTGGTTCAATTCTTAGTTAGTAAGATTGAAATGTAAATTAATAAATAAACTACTTCACACACGATTTTGAGGAACTTACCGTGAGCCCATTCGCTACATGATGAATAATTAGTAAAAAAATGTACTATCTACTACTTTTCCAACTTCTTAATACATTAATTAGGTAATAAACTACATCTAACTTCAATTCTCACTCTCAAAATCACATAGGATAGTTGTGGAATAGTAGAACATTAAAACTTGCAAAAAATTACTATTAGCCCATAATTACATAAAACGATATCATGAAACAAAAGACGAATCTAAACGTCTATTCAAAACTTGAAATGAACGCGCATAAGAATTTCAAGAAGAAAGTCTGACTATATTTGAAATGAGTTAGCAAAACCTTTGCTAAACAATGCAAACATGGAAATGCAATATCAGTAGCAAGATCAGCCATTTGTTTAAAGCTATTCTATTAAAATTTCCTACAAAACAGTTAAATAATCTGCTCAGAGACATGCTACAAGATCAAACAAACAAATTCTTACAAACTTTACACTTGGTGAAAATCATAAGATACACGACAGACTAAACATTCATAATTTAAGTATCAAAACATCCAAACATATAATTATAATACATTATTTATTACCTATTTATCAGTCGTATTATTATTTCGCTTTTTATAAACATTGCCTAATTCACGTATAATAATAGAGTTTTAATTGTAGTCACGGTTGAAAACTAACAAAAAAAATACTAAGGTCTATAGGACAGACGATGCGAGCGAGACGAGTCAACCATCCGCATATTATGATGTCAGCTTTTGGAGTTGCATCTCTGGATATACATATAAAATGGACGATCTTACAATAGTTACTCATTCGCTACTTTGAACTCAGCACGAATACTAACCAAGATGCTTAAATACGTGAGTCTTTAAATTATTTATTTATTTTTAAAGCATGTAATCATAGAAAGTTCTCTTTGAGATTTAATTTTAATAATGTTGTTAGGGTAAATATTTTGAAAGTAGGTCGCGTCCGTTAAGTGTTGTCGATATATTTCTTAAGTACAGTAATGATCAAATGTGAGAACAATGAGTATTTTTTTTTAATTGTACAGTATGGTTGACTACACATTGTTTTTTGTAAGTTTCTATCTATGAATGTATTGGAAAACTAAAAGTAAAATACTTCTGTTCCAAGCTTCAATAACAAAATACCGTATCTCGTTTATTGTAACTTACGAGAAACGTTGCAAAGATTAAGTTAAGGGAGGTAGGTCGTTGCATTGATTCATATTGCTGGTAACATAAATAAATTGGTTACCGTAAAGTAAAGTCATGGCCGACGACATGGATTTTGTTATTGCCCATATCGAAAATTCGGTTGAGGCTCGCAAAATCTTACTTCATCTTTAAGATGTAACGGAAACTAACATCTTTACCGCACTTGCTTAAACCGAGAATTTTGTTTTGTAAAAATTCATTAAAACAATAACAAGTCCAATAGGGTTGTTACTATACTGAGGTTGTAACTATACCGAGATCTTAGAACTTATATCTCAAGGTGGGTGGCGCATTTGCGTTGTAGATGTCTATGGACTCCAGTAACCACTTAACACCAGGTGGGCTGTGAGCTCGTCCACCCATCTTAGCAATAAAAAAAACTGTATTCTTTCACAAAAACTACACGACATGATTCAAATTCAGATCTTATAAGGAAACACCCAAAAAATTGATGGTCTAACAGAGAATACGTAAAATACAAATCAATTGTAATTTCAATCGCTCATGGAAAAACATAGGGGAATAGAATTACGCACAATAAAGTAATAAAAGTTACTGTTGTATATTTTCTCTAAATAATTAGCAACTGTTCGTTTATTTATCTGTAATTATGCTGTAATAAATTATTACACTTATTAGTTGAAATTAGATGAACTTACCGTAATTTTACTTAGGACCTTTACTTAGGATAATCTTATTAAGGATAAAATTTTAATCTTTTTTAATCAGGTCACAGTCGCTTGCGTGCTGGTAGCCCTTTGCTCAGGTGCTCCACAACAAAATCCCCAAGATGTTCAGATCCTACGTTTTGACAGCAACGTGGAACCCGATGGCTACAGCTTTGCGTAAGATATACTTTAGTCAATTAAAGTATTTTGTTTACGTTTGTAAGACAATCTCCAACATATGGCACTCGAACGCGAATCCGATAATGCAAACTAGAACGGATCTTAAATTGAATGTTAATAGTTCAAATGAAAATAGTACGTCCACATCAAGGCCCAAATTGTAGTTGTCATGTACAGTGAAGTAAATATAAAAGTACTCTCCCATCGGATAGTGGTAATACTCACTCACACTAGAACGGTAAAAATATCCTAACCTTTTTTCTGCACCACGTCCTAGTTTGAGCACTATACCATAGATAGAAATGATGTGAGTTTGCACATGTTTGTGTCGCGATTTTGTCTATTCTACTGTGGAACAAACACCTCTTCCAGTTTAAATCGCGGGAAAGTCGTTTTTCTAGTACAATTTAGACTTCGAAATTTTCAAATTTTATATTAGTTATAAACACCAATAAAACCTGTTTATTGGGTACATCGTCTGTAAAACTTCCTGTTCGCGCACTTAAAAATAATTACACTAATATCGAATTTGAAGCTTCCATTCGAACAGATTATGAAGGTGCGGCAAATATATAAATTTTAGACCTATACAAAATTTAACGTAGCATTTATATGATGCATTATGGTATCCATCAGCCTCGGTGCTATATCATTAAAAATACATTAGGTTTACCAAAATCACGTCAAGGTCTTAACTTCGTCATTTTTGTTTACACAAAATCTACATAAAATTTGGAAACGCATCAAATTAAGTACAGTTAATGTCTATTTATAATGTTATACGTCAAGGAGTTACGACAAGGAATTGTATTTTAACGTATAATGTAGCAATGAACAAACATTAAAATTTTCATTTAGATTTGTAAATCAATCTAATCAGGCTAATAAACGAGCTGTCTTATGAATTAAAACATAAAATGGAATATTCATATTTTACAAAAAATAGGAATATATAAAATAGGATTATATTTTTATTCATATTAATGCAAAATGCAAATCTCATTAACTCTTCAATTATACGGCAATGCTAATTGCAAAGATTATAACATTCTAGGCAATCACTTTAACACACCTGATTAATCGTTCAGCAAACAAATAATATAAAATACCATACTAGTATACTTGGTGCTTAGTTTTGGAACTCCATGCCGTTACGCAATCCGATTGAGGTTTCGACCTCATTACTCAAGAGCTGTGATGTCTATGGGCTCGAACCACTGTCCCAATTGTGCCATAAGCATATAAACCGTTTTAATGAAATTCACTAATATCATCGATACTGACAACACGTTTTACATAAGTCTTTCTATGCAGGTACGAAACTAGTGACGGTACATCCAGACAAGAAGAAGGCAAACTCGACAACCCACAGTCCGAGAATGCAGCTCTGACAGTTACTGGACAGTATGCTTACGTAGCTCCTGACGGCAAGCACTACACTGTCACTTTCACAGCGGGACCCAACGGCTTCCAACCCAAAACCTCATTGGGCCAGAAGTAAAAACCCCAAAAACCTGTGTACATAAATAATACTCCGTCTCAACGTAAGTTAGACAATGATTTTGTAGGCAGCTAAGAGATCTCGATGTTATCATCTATCCTTGTCATGTCCAGTGACAAAAGCAATTTCTAAATTCTCGTGCCATATGGACACTATCTTTTATTTGTACTTTTTTTTAATAAATCAAAATGTCAATTATGAATAAACAATTGATAATACAATTTCGTTTATTTTTATTTAAGTGCCACTGAACTATGTTAAAAAAAATTCCTTAAATAATTTCAGTATTTGTATAAGAATCCAAATTTTGTAGTTAGCTTTAATTGGAGGAATAATTCACACTCAATATTAAGTAGTTACCATAGCCCACGGAAGAGTACTGAATAATAATGTTTAAAAGAAAGCTAATTAAGTAAGGTAAGCATTACAAAACGACCGACCACCGCTAATATAAGAGGCCCATCAGAAGGAGATCCAACAGGCACTAAAATATGTTGAAGCTTATGGTACTTTGGTAGAGCATAATATTATTACGATTGATTTGGTTGTGATCACATACACCCGTATTGTTGTTTAAAATGAATTTATAATATTTCTTCGTCTGCTATCTTAAAAAATAAATATAAACTTACTGAATAATGAGAAAGGGGTGGTATTTTTGTGTATTAAAATTTAAAAAAAGAAATTTGATAAGATAGAGCTAGACATAAACAAACAAGGCTTAATTAAATAACATTATATCTTCCTTATTGTTAATAGTTTAATCGTGTTTAAAGCTTATAGTTTTTTAGTATAGTGTGATAATTATATCCTTGATATCCTTGAAATTTAAAATAAAAATTCGTTTATAGATTTTTCGAACACCAACCCTACCGATACCTTCCTAAGAAATAGCAAAGGAGCACTTACATTTAACAATCTATAAATAAGCAGTTGAGTTCTATACAAGGTCAAAATGTACTATGAATAAGTTTTAAATCATATTTCCACAATAGTATAATTAAGCCTCATACTTTGTTATAAAAAACGTAGAGTAAAACCAACTTTAGACCATAACAAATAACATAATAGATTTTATTTAAGCTTTTGATGGTGTTTAGTCATCGAGAAAAACATTTGCAAGGATTTACTGTTCAAAAAAAAAAAAAATTGCCTTGATGTCTAAACAATTAAGTAATCAAAAGATAAAAATAGACAACTGCTATTTTTCATAAATTTTATTTGAATGTCAATACATCCAGAAAACAAAATTATAAGATTGACTAACAATATAAATAGAATTTATATGATAAAAAATTTGGATTTACTTTTTTTTTACTGAAAACGCACACTCCATACTCTTGTTATTAAACTTTTTTTTTTTATTGCTTAGGTAGGTGGACGAGCTCACAGCCCACCTGGTGTTAAGTGGTTACTGGAGCCCATAGACATCTACAACGTAAATGCGCCACCCACCTTGAGATATAAGTTCTAAGGTCTCAGTATAGTTACAACGGCTGCCCCACCCTTCAAACCGAAACGCATTACTGCTTCACGGTAGAAATAGGCGGACCAGAATATCAATTTGTGAAGATAACACAAATTCAATTTTTATTACAAAATTCGAACATTAACTAAACAAGAATTAATAACTTGATCTTTTGCTGCAATAAGACAGCATATACATAGTACTTGTATGCAATATGCATAAACTTACGATCGTGTAAAAAGTAATTTCATACGAAGAAAATAAAACGTAACATATATAATACTTATGCAGTAACACATTACCGAAAATTTATATTAAATTACATATTACAAAATAACATCATCATGCATCTTCTTCACGCCTGCAACAAAATGAAGGAAAACTGTTTACACAAAGGTGTAATAATATTAAAATAGAAATTTCACACTGCAAATGTTGAATGCATGTTTCGTAAAGCAAGCTAAATGCCAAAGCACACACATCTCGAAGGTTCTCGGTATCTGTGTAGGCACTACGAAGTTTATAATTTTGTAACCTTCACGCATTTGCCGTCATTGTATTATTGTGAACATTAAATATATGGTATGCTATTACAATGATGTATCTAATTAATTTGAGGTTGGTCACTTCTACTCTGAGTAAAATTTAGTACTACCAAATTTGTTGAAATGTGAAATAATAGCAAATATACGCTAGGTCTAAATTTTCGTTTTGTTATAAATGCTACGAACCATCGTACCATCTGTGATCAGGGCAGAGTTGACTATTACTATCTAGAACACTAGGTATATTCCGCCATAACATGTTTCAACAGATCAGCGTTGCGATGGACCATCCTTCACTACAATGAGCTCCCCTCCTCGTTGCCTTCCCCGAGCTTTACACATGCCCTTCTCTAAACAAAATTTTAAAATGACGGTAGGCAGCAGCTTGGATTTTCTTCAAACATTAGCGAATTAGATGAAACAATAACCCCTTACGATATGGTGGGGCAGGAAGATCGTTTGTCTTCAATTGATCTGAAAACAATATTCAAAACGGGAAGCGCAAAGCATACAAAAAGATAATTAACAAAATTCACAACATTGAACATACGGAACTTGACAGGTAAACTGAGGCGCATATTTTACAAAACACGAATTAACTGCATTACGAAAACCCAATTATCGTAGTTGACACCTACTCCATTCTGACCTGAAACAGCGGCAAACTATCACTGGCCTCCTAGAAAAATCATCACGGTTCCTTCTGTTCCACTCTCAGTATTACTGGAAGCCACTAGTAGCAGCAATGAAAACACGGGTCACCGTACTTGTCGAACTCGCCGATTTTTTTTCCCTTCCTATGCTGATAGCCTTGAGAGGCTATTTCAGCTTCTCCTTGACGTGTAGATGAGCTCATGGGGGAGAGTGCTGCTAACACTGGCCCTAGAAAGAGCAGTGCTTCCAGAATCTACCACCGGATCGAATACACGACCCACTGAGAAGATCCGGCGAGAAACTCAGTGGGCTGTCTATGGGTTAATTTACTCGTCGAACTTTTCGTCCCAAGCGACAGGTTCTGCGAGCATGGGCACCGGTGCTTGAAGTCAATCAACGAAAAGCCCTACGTGAACTTTATAGCCATAGCAGTTGCCCGCTAAGTTTTTTGCTTCTCAACTGGTCGCAATTCCGATCTTGTGATAGATAGACTCGTGAAGGAGATAGCCTTGAGATGTTAGGCCTCGTCAGAGGATGCTCAAGCAGCTGTCAACACACTTTCTCTTGCAACCTTGAATTCTCGGGACGAAACGCTATCCTTCTACCCGAAAAAAAAGCGATGATTTGCGTGCGTCATTGGAGACTATAATTAATCAATGATGATTAACACAGATTATACATTAAAATTTAACAATTAGCCACATATGATGACATGTTACTTGGTCATTAATGTTAAAAATGTAAATGAATAGCTTTTATTTAGTAATTAATATATGACACAAATAGTTTTATACCATTTTAATAATTTTTAAATTTATTGTTTTTCCATTATTTGTTTTACCATTATTACTAGTTTTATTATTGGGGTCCAGTTATTAAGTACCTACAGAATTAAGTATCCTTCTTTGTGTATAGACAAAGCAGTCATACAAGATTCAATAATCTTGTGCATCGGTTGCAAAGGAACAAACAAAATACGGACTTTCTTAACCGCAACCGCCGCCCGTGTAATTAACACTGTCAACTTTAAGCACTTCTTAAAATTTATTAGTCACGTACGAAATATTTACAACACGTTATGTAACGTAAGTATTTATCGGAATTAACGAGGAACCAAAAACGATTATCATTCGTCATTAATGTCTGATCGATGCGTCAAGTTGCTGGATATCGTGACTGAGCTTTTGCTCGCTCCCCTGTCCTGGTCAAGCTGCAAAGGCTTCCGGGCCACCAGTAATTCTTCGTTCCTAAAAAAAACTTCAAGATAAATATTAATAGGCGTTGACAGTTCACTAGAGTATTAACTGAATTTTTCTCGAGTCGTAAGCGATATTTAAAAAAATACAGCTTAATATCATGTTTAATAAATACTAGGTATATTTTAAAGAGTATTCTTCTTCTCAGTCGGACACTCTTATTAGAGTGGTCGTGGTTGAGCTGACGATGTATATGCATCGATATCGATATCGATCTGTGGTTTTAGTGTTGGGAATCACCATTACTATCACTGATTTTGGTTATCAGGCGAAGCTCCAAAACAATTGAAACACGACTACGAAGACATTTCCTCTGAATAATAACTACGAGACTTTTAGTATTATTACAAGTCTCTTTACTTTCCTTGCATTTGAGTAGGGTCTCGTCATATAAAAAATAACATATATTAAGTATATTACGAAATGAATTACAATAATATATAAACATAGTTGAGTTGTGACATTTTTAAGTTTAAACAAGTGATTGAAAGCAGCCGTTGTACAAGATTTATTTATAGAGTTACAAAATTACATGTGATGAAAACGGGACCTTTGACATTTCACATCGAAGAGGTCATGATTCGTTTGTAGTCAGCTGCCTAAAGCTGTGATTATATGCGGATTATGATTTCACGGACAATATCTGCTATACAAAAAGTACGGGCTTAAGAAACTGAATAAGTTTTTAAACAAACAATATTATATTAGACCAACGTTGACGTTAGACTGGTAGGTGCTTTATAAAATTTAAAGAATATTTATTATAAAATCTTAATGTAATATAATAAATCAAATCTTCACTTAAAAAAACTAAAGTACTAATTAAATCGAAACAGATAGATACAAAAGTCATTATTTTCTCCAAAAAAGTTACATTATTGATTAAATTTGTTTTTCTCCCGTTGTGAAATAAATCAGTACGATTGATTACGTTAATCAATACTGTTCATTAAGAAGTTACAACACGATTCACAATATATAATGACCACAAATACTAGATACAGCTGTAATTCAACTATTACACGCAGTTTTTGTCAAAGAGAAACTTATGAAGGTAAACTACATAATATGTAATCCTACCTATTAACGAAAAGCTATAATGCATTACCCCCTTTTCTTTTTAGGGACTTTACTTGATTGAGTAGACGTCCACTTTCTCTTAAATGTTAAAATACAGTATTTTGTTCGGTTTTCGCGAATATTAGACATAATTAAAACTTCATTATGAAATGACACGTATAAAAACAATAAAATTTTATAGAAAATAAGACAGTAGTCAGCAACATATCAAAATAAAT